AAAATAAAAGTTTTAAAAATTAAATTAAAAATTAAATAAAAGGTAATAAAAATATAAAAGATAAAAAGGCTTAACTTTAAATAAAAACCGGTAAAACATACATAATAAACGTTAATAATATTAAAAATTTAAATTTATTAAACTTTATTATAATAAAATATAATAAATAAATACGTTAATAAATAAGATTATAAAAGAATAAAATTATAATTAAAATAAAAGGTTAAATTTAAAAAATTATATTGCGTTAAAAAAAAACTTAAAAAAAAAAATTAAAAAAATAAATTAAAAAAAATTTTATTTATATAAACTTTTTTTATTAAACTATTTTAAAACTATTATTATAACAATATAAATAATAATTATAATAAAAAAAATGGTTTAATATATTGCTAAAATATTAACATAAATTTTAAATAATATATATAAACTTATTTATTAAATTTATTTTTTTTATTATATACCGTAATAATTACCATTTAACCCATTTTTAAAACAAATTATTACCCGTACATATAACTTTTAATAACATCAATAAACTTAAAAATATAACATATTACCTTTATTTAAAAAATATATTATATAAAGTAAATAACTATAATTATAACATAATTATTATAATAATTATAAAAAATTATGGCATTAATTATAATTATTATATAATTAATTAATTATATAAAAGTTATATTATACACAATTATACTTTAAATAATTTAAACTTTTATATATCATTTATAATTACTATATATTATTTATAATAACACCATAACTTTTAACATTATATTAATTAATTAATATTATATTAATTACAAATTATATATATAAATATTACTTAAAAAAAATTACCTTTTATATAAAGATTAATTACATATTACCATATGATTATTTTTATATAATAATATGTTTATAATAAAATAAATAATTTTATTTTATATAAAATAATTAATAAATATAATTAATTTATAATAAAAAATATTTTTTATAAAATAATAAAAGGTTTTTTTTATATATATATATAAAATATTATATTTAAAATTAAATAAGTTGTTAAATATAATAATATAAGTAAATAATATTTAAAATTAAAATATTTTATAAATTATTTTAAAAAAGTAAAGATTATTGGTTTAATTATTATAAAATGTGACGTATATAATATATTTAAAATTAAAAAACTTATTTAACGTAAGTTAAAATAATTAAAAAAAGTTTTTAATTTATGTTTTATTATAAATTTTTATTTTTTAAAAAAGGAATATAAAGGTTATAAAAATATTATGTTAATAATTAACCAATAAACCGGTTATATTTAAAATTATTATTTTTAAAAATAATTTATATAATTTATTATTTTTTATTTTAAAAATTTATTAAATATTTTAAAAAAATAATATAATTTAAAGTTTAAGGTAATAAAATATAATAATAAATTTATAATAAATAAATTATAAATATAATAGTTTTTTTAATAAATATATATTTAAATAAAATTATTTATATCTTATATTTAAAAATAAAATGGTATTATAAAATGTTTAAAAAATATAATTAAAACCAAAATTTATATTATAAAAAACGGTATAAAATTATTAACGTTTTTATAGCCGGAAATTTATAAGTTTACTGTTTATTTATATAATTACATTTTTAAATATATATATAATTAAAAATTATTTTACGAAAAGTTTTATATATTTATTGTAAAAAAAAACGGTAATATGGAATTTTAACATAAATTATAATAAATATATTTATATATTTATAAATATAAAATATTTGCAATAATTAAAAAAATGTAATTAAAAAAAAATAAGCGTAAAAAATTAAATTTAAAGGTTTAAATAAGTTATTTAATAAATTATTTTTTTATAAATATTTATTATATTTAAAATTTTATAATTAATAAAATTATATTTATTTATAATATAATTTTTAATAAAAATAGTATATTTTTAAGAAATTTAAATAATTTTAAAAATAATTTATTATATATTTTTAATAAAAAGTATAAAATATTTTTACAAAAAATTTAAAAAATTATATTTAATGCAATAAATATATATAATATATTTAATTTATAAAAAGAAATAATAATTATAAGATTTATATAAAAAATAAATATATTTATAAAAATATATTTAAAAAAAAATTAATATATAATATAAAAATTTAAATAATAAAATTTTAAATAAAAATTATAATAATAATTATAATTAATAATTAAAAATTAAATTTAATTAATTATAATATTTTAAAATATATTTTAAACCGTTACTAATTTTTAAACCGTTATTTTTTATAGATTTTTTACGTAAATTTATTTAAAGTATAATATGTGTTAAAGCGGTAAAACCAAAAAAAAAAAATTTTTTTTAACTATACGTATTAAAACTTAATAAACTACATTTAATATAAACTGTTTAAAAAAGTGTGTAAATTAAATTAAAAATAAATTAATTAATAAAGTTTAATTTTTAAAACTATTAAAAAATTTAAAGTTTATATATAAAAAAGATTTTCTTTTATTTTTTAAATATTATAATTAAATAAAAACTTATTTAATAATTAATTTATAAAATTAAATAAAAAAAAATTATTTAAAAAGTTATAAAATAACTAATATATAAAAAAAAATATTATAAAAAGATTTTTAATATAAAAAAAAGGAAATTTTAAATTATATATAAATATATATATATAAAATTAATAAATATAAGTAATTTATTAAATATAAAATAAAAATAATAGTTAAAAATAATTAATAATAAAAGATTAATATTGAAAAAATATATATATTAATATTAATAATTAAATTATTTTAAATTTTTATAATTATAATAATATATTTTAATTTAAAGTTAAAATAATTTAATATAATTAATATTTTTATTAATATTAAAATAAAAAAAAATATATTTATAAAAATATTATTTAAATATAAAAAATTTAAAATAATATTTAAAATAAAAAAAGCAATTTATAATATAAAAAAATTTCCAAATTTATAATATAATAAATTTATAAATAAGTTAAAATAATTAAGTTTTTAAATAATTTTATATAAATTATATATTTATTATAAAAATAAAATATTATTATTTTTTTATATAAATAACCTAATTTTAATATATAAAAAAAAAAAGAATTAATAATATAAATAATAATTAATTAATTAAAGAAATATTATGGCATTATTAAAAAAATTTTTTTTAATAATATTTAAATATTATTATTTTGAAAAATTATATAAAACAATTAATATGGTTATTTTAATTTAATTATTTTAATAAAATTAATAATTTATTTAAAAAAAATACAAAATAAATTTTATTATATTTTATAATTAAAGAAAAATTATTATTATATAAAATGAAAATAATATTAAAATTTATATATTTATATTAAAAAAAAATTAACTTAATATTATATATTATAATAATTATTAAATTAAATATAGTTTTTATATATTCCCGGTTAATACAATTTTTATTAAATTTAAAACTAAAATATTATAAAATAATAAATAAAATTATTAAATATTTTTATTATATTAAAATATTAAGATTTTAATTAAAAAAAAGTAATAAGTTTAAAGTAATAAATAACACGTTATTTATTAATAATATAATAAATTATAAAAGTTTTTAAATATATATAATAAAATTATTTAACAAAATTATTAAATAATAAATAAATAAATAAAATATAATTATTATATTAATTATAAAAATAAAATTATTAACTTTATTATAAATAGCAAAAAAAGCTATATTTATTTTTAAATTTATTAAAAAATTAAAAATATTTTTAAACAATTTTACAATTATTATATAATGTAATAATTATTAAATTATTTAATTAATTTAAAAGGATATTAATAAATTATAAATTAAATTAAAGTATGTAAATATTTACAATTATTAATTACGTTAAAAAGTATATAAAAGTATAATATATGTAAAATATATATTATTAAAAAATATAATTGCAAATAGTTTTATTAAAATATTTACAAATATATTTTTTATAAAATTTAAAAAGTAAGTAAAATTGGTAAATATTAAAAATAAATTGGAAAAAAAAGTTTTAAAAAATTTAATTAACAAGATTAAGTAAATTCCTTGGAATTTTACAAATTTATTTAACGGTGACGTTTAAAAAGGTGTGTAAAATGTACTTTAATATATTTTAACACGTGATTGTTTATTACGTGTTATTTAAACATTTAAATTTATTTTAAGTGTTTGTAAAAAAAAATAATAATGTTTTATTTTTATTAATTAATTTAATAGATTAATTTATCTAATAAATTACCCTGATTAAGTACATTATTCAAATTTTATACAATTTTATACAGTATTTCACTGTATTACTACTTTTATACAGCACAAAAACAGTCATACTATCTACCTTTAAGCATGCTGACAAGATTCCAATGTGCTTTCAAGCGTTGCTTATAAGATGCAATGATGTTTTATGTCTTTAAATAAAACCCTTACATGAACCAATATGATTCTGGACGAGACATTCGGAACAAAGGATACTTTCGGTAATTCCATTCACGGGTTTCCATAGTTTAGATCAAAGTTCCTCGCAGAATAGCGAAGTTATTTCCCTACCTTCTAGAACCACCTTATGATATGAACCCCAGATCTCTTAGATTACAATACCTCACATAAAGAATGTTATCTGGTGTCTTGATAAGAGATATCATAGCTAAGCCCATGTAAGTTCATCCCTGAAGATTCCAGCGGTCCGTTAACTGGTTTTATCACTGGGAGGAACTGGAATATTAGGTAGGTTTCCAGGCCTATATTTCTGGATAGCTCGAAGACTTTAAATAAGGACATGGGGTCTTAATTTAAGAGAATAATCGTGACCATTATTAAATATTTAATTACCTCTTAACTACTATTGACCGTATGTAAGCTTTTTACAACTCTATTGTTTTACCTTGAGGCCTAATTATAACCATATGCCCTTGGGCCGATGCAATCAGCATGGTAATAGAAGGAACTATCGTGGCCATTACCATTCTCCTTATTATTCCCATAGCGGTCTATTGGAGAAAAATCCCGGAGGCTCCTGCTCCACGAGTATACACTTCACAAGCCCCTCAACAAGAACTTTCGCCTATTCAATCACCCTCTAGCGAATGGAAGAAAACTAGCATCAGCAAAATGGCAGCATTGCTAAGCCATGTCACAACCGGATTTGGTAAAGGCAAGATGCGGAAGCGCTCCCAGAACGATTGGAAACCGGGTCGTGGCTCCTCATACGCAGGGATAGTGTCTTTAATCCAAGGCCTCAACGAACCCTCTTTTCCGCGTGACTATTTCGCCTTCCTTCAACTCAACGATTTATCGATTTTTTTCACGTACGAGAATGGGCCTCTCTTACAATTTCACGACGTAGAAGGAGTCGGATGGGATGAGAATGGCCTTGAAATGCGGACCTTTATGGAATGTCTGATCGGAAAAGCAGCTTTCAACGCCGTCGTCTCCGAGATAGAATGTATTGAATCCCTTATGCCACCATTGCGAGTGTTACGCATAGAAGTACTTAATCGAGTATGCCTCATCGGACCTGAAGATTGTCGGCGAATAGCCGAATTCTGGGAGTCTCTACTAGCCCACATGATTGTATCCGATGATGCTAAGAAGGAAGCTTCCCGTTATTCTAGAAAACACTTTGGATGCGCTTCTCCGTTCGTGATGATGAAGTCCCAGTGAAGTTGGATTGTCGTGGAACATAGCGTGAGGAAGACAGGCACTCGGATATACCCAAGTTTTTCGCACTATCTAGCAGAATTAGCAACAATGGAGGAACTACAAACGGATATACGCGGTATCAGGCATATAGAAAGACGAATTGCTGCCTCTGACCGTCATATGTGGATGCCCATCCTTGCGGTAGAAACTGGACGGCCACATCCTGCTAAAAGGGATTACCCAAATCTTCGCCTTGTTACGAGGGTCAGGTCATAAGTCTACTGAGACCCGTGAGCTGCAACTCCTCACGAGTAACTACATGCGTACCTAATGGATAGAGATGGAAGCGGAACGTATTACCCGATTTACTATTATACTTTGATATGTAATTTAATAACGAACATGATGCTATGCTACTAAACTCTTGGAAATTTCATCATTCCGTGACAGATGTACGCTCTCGTAGAGATTCACTAATGAAACTTCTGTATAAAATTGCAATATTTTCTCTTGAAATGGCTCGCTTTAACTGAAAACAAAGCTACTCGTCGATATGATCGATGGTTCCGGGGAAGCAGGCGACAAGAGACGACACCACAGTTGTGTCTGGGGTAAAGTGTGGTTACTCCACCAAGAGCCGTAACGTTCTATCGAATCGTGACTAAAGAGATGGAGATTCCCAGTTTGATCGACTGCACAAAAGTGGGAAAAGGGATGGAGATGACCGTTAATGACTGTGTATAAATGCAGCTGAATTGGTTGACGCCATAATAAGATGTTAGGTAGCCATGGTGCGAAAGTAGTGAGCGAAGACGCAACGGCAGTTATTCGAAGGCATGTTGCTCGTCAGGGGTAACGAAATGTCTAGAGTGAGGCCGTTTCCATTGCGTTTACATTAACTTAAAGCTAGGTATTATAGGACATACTCATTCTTCACGTAGCATATGCAACGAATATTGGGGTCGCATCTAAGGCTAGGTTGCAGTTGAGGCATCAAACGAGATTTCCGAGTTGAAAATATCGAAGAGCGGACTTACGAGGGACGTTCATGAGCCATAACAATAAACGTTCGCTTGTCTCGGCATCGTTATATTGAGAATATGCACGGACGGAGTAATGAATACTGGGTTTAGTTCGCCGCTGGTTGAATGGCCGAAGAAAATAAAAATATTTCCCAAAATTTTCAGGTCACGAAGTGTTCTCCTTTTACTTACCGCTTAGTGGTCAGGTGGTCCAAAGTAACATAGCCTGTCCGTCGCCTGTCCTGCCCATCGTGGTCCTCAAAACGTTGCGCTAGAGGGTCGAGGGGAGCAACGGCAGATCGACAAGCGCGATCTAAACTCGGCCAAGCCGAAATCTGAAAAGTGCGAAACCTCCTTTTTTTTTTCTTGCTTGTTACCAACTCCACATTTGTGGATGTTGTCCTGGACTCTTACGCGGTTTGAGGATGAAGCGGCACACAACCAAATTTTTTATTATTTTTTATTAACCAGCCGAATAATGGTCCACATCGTGATTCCTATGAGACTAAGTCTTCGATGTGGTATCATCCCTCGGAGATGCACATACCGTCGCAGCAGTTCGCTTCAGCTGGTAAAATGTAATGCTGTCGACAGCACAGCAGTTACAGCGAAGTGGCCGGTGGGTGCTGAAGCCAGCATGGCTTGGACATGCTCGACATGGCAAATCGCCTATTAGAATATAAGCATATGGCGAGATTTGGTCCTTAATTGATCTCAGCCGTCGCCAACCAATCAAAGAGGCCAGGCTTTAGATCTATTGGTTCACGAATTGTAGCGGCTCTTTTCGATCAACGCCCCGTACCTGCAGTGGATTTACATGGACTACACGGGGAGAAGACTGAGGATTGGCTGATCCGTCTTACATATATGATATATCTACATACCTAAACAACAAATATACGTACAGCATGACGTTTGCCGGGCCTTTGTTCCTACCTATGAGTAGTTATGTATACTGAGTACCAGACCAGTCAACAAGATTCCAGCTCGTCCAAAAGCAGAAGCGAGACCAATTACACTACGAAGTACACCACCAATTGCACCACCGAGAGCCCATTCTTGCCCATCCTGCACGAATCCCTGTCTAGTGGCGAGGGAGCAAACTATGGGGTAATAGTTAGGTACAAAAAACTCCTCTGCAGGTCTCATGATGCCTTTACCTAAGACCCGATTTCGTAACCACATCAACTTTTTGCCAGTCTGAGAGCTCCTGTTAGCTAATTCCTTGCTAATGGGATCCATCACGCGGTTACCCCAGATTCCACTTATACATGTTACTATACATGTTTCCCTTACGATTTGGGTCCCGCCAAGACGATGGTTTTTCCTGTCCAAGTGCACCGGAATCTGCCTGCCTGGTTCTATTTTCCGAGTCTCCCAGCCCTAGGAAGCAAAATTCGACCAGACCATGTTGTCATCTCCACGCGACGAGCTGCGCCGGCAACCTCGCCTAGCGTTTCACACAAAGTCTTGCGTGCGCCGCGTGCCTTATGCCATCTCCTTGGGGCCATGAAAAATTTTCCTTAATGGGATTTCTATTCTACCCTAGGATCGAGTACGTAGTTACGTATCGTGGCCGGCTTTGTTCCTATGTAAACTCTTGTCCTGGTGCCACGTGTGACAAATCTGGAACTTTCTTGAGAACTATGGTGTAATTTATGACAAAGGGGTTGCTCCCCTGGCCACGATGAAATTATGTATATTAGCTCGTGCCCGCCATCCCACTGACCCATCTTAGGATTTGTTATACTATTTTGCTGCCACTATTCATCATTAAAGCTTCTCAACGGAAACAACATCCACCTAAGCTCACAAATACCGGAGACGTATCAACATCGTTGCTGTACAAGAGTAGTCCAAGATGACTGAACTCACCATCACCGAGCCTCACCCAACCGTCCCGAAGAACTCATACACCCACTCGGGACGAGGTGGCGCTGGTAACTACTTCCGGGCTCCTAGCACAACACCGTCGTCCGGCGTAGCGACAAAGCCGACATCAGTGCAACACACCACATCGCGCTTCTACTCCGGACGAGGAGGAGCAGGCAACGCGCACGTCGCAGCCGCGAAGCCCGTTTTATCCTTCGACGAGGAGTTCACCCACAAAAGCCACATCGAGGAGAAGCCCGTCGGCTACGTTGGCCGGGGCGGCGCCGGAAATGTCTACGGGGCCAGCGGCCCTAGCACCTCCCGCAAGGGCAGCGATGCTTCCAGCCAGCACAGCTCAAGCAGCTCAGGTAGCTTGTCCAATATATGGAGCCGCATAAGCCACCGGTGCTAAGAGTCGCAACAGCTCCCGCTAAATGAACATCCAATTATTAATTCACCACGACATATTTTTTTTTCAACATATTGCATACTACACACCATCATCTCTCTACTTGATCATCATCATCATCATCATCATCATGGGAAAGCAAGGCGCATCGGAGTTTCGGGCATCATCGTACCCAATCAACTACGGGTATGAACAGGCAGGCAAGCAGGCATCATGAGCTCTGGAGACAGGGCACGGGAAAAGGAGGACACGAGAGAGAGAAAAAAAAAGTTTGGGGCCTCAGAGCAAACAGGAAACTCGAAAATTTGGTTTACGGGAGAAATAAGGATATTGGGGAACACTAACACCCACAACACCATCTTACCTATCTTCCCCCCTTCCGGCTGGCAGACTCCGGGACGAAGGAAACCTCGCAACAACTAACAGCAGTGTTTGTTTCTGGTGAATATTTACGAGCGATATATACCCCCCATAGCGACTTTTCAGCTGAAAAGGTCTTTGCGTTTTGAGGTTTAGGAAGGCATATAGCATTCCGCTAGATGGAACAGACATAAGTAGTTGATATAACTACAAATAATTAAAAAATACCTATGAATTATACTCCCACCATCCGTTTTTGATTCGAGTTTACATCGCGTAGAGTGCTACCTTGCTAGTGTTACCATACTATGTCTTTAGCCTCCTTAGTTTTTCTTTCTGTAACCTCAGCAACACCTTACTTAGGTCACAGACTATTTAAGTCTGACCTACCTAACCTAGTCGAACTCAAAACACAATCGTACCTAAGGTAGAATCGTCATCACTATTGCGTAACACCTATATCATCATATGGGATCTTCAACGCCTGGGTATCATTCATCTACATAGACGACTTAAGTATTCCGCCAATAATCTGACACACAAGCTTGCCGGCTTCTCTCCCCTTTCCTCTCCTGTCCTCCCATCTCTTCCCCTTCAGACATTGCGAGAGCCTCAACTTGCTAGAAGGTCCTTTGCAGCCATACACTATCTACTACATCTCTGGACTGTTGCTTAGAATGGAAATGAGTCTCTCGCTGCGCTTACGCTATGCTACCTTACCATGAAATCCCCTCATACCTATTACACTCGGACCGGGAGATGGTCAATTCGTAACTTGTCAACCTCCTTTCCCTGGTCCGAGTCGTAGCGATTTGTGAAATCTCCCCGTTCTATTTTTTAGGTTTCCGAAAAATGAGATAGGTAGGGAGACTATGTCAGTTTCTTGTGGATTATGTCGGGGTCCTCGTGCCAGTCGTCGATGCTAACCCACATCTATTATTCTATTAGTATATCTTTAGTTCAGGGATAGTGAAACAGCAAACGCACCTTTCTGAACGTGCTTAAGCCCGCAAGAATGCTACCTCCGATCCAGGTCGAGTACTTGCGTTCGGGCGGTGCGAAGATCTTGATCCGCATGTCCTTGACAGCCAGCTTCTTGACTTCGCTCAGCAGGCGGTCACCGAACCCTTTGGTTAGGGTGCTACCGCCAGACAATACAATATTGGCGTAAAGCGCCTTACGTAGGTCCAGATCTGTCCTGTTGATAGAATCTGTCACGATCTGCTGAATACCCGGATACTCTAACCCGATGAGTTCGGGGTCGAATAGGATCTCGGGCGCACGGAAACGCTCCTGGCCCACGCGCAGTCGGTTACCGTCAGGTAGCACGTACTCTGCCGTTTTCCCCTGGTCTAACTTCGCGCTCTGCCAATCCTTCTCCTCTTGCTTAGGGTTTATAGCCACGTATGAAACAGCTTCCTTGATTAACCGCACGACTTCCTTTTCGGCGCTCGTATGGAAGACGTAGCCACTCTTGCGCAGCAGCGTCTGCATGTACTCGGTGACGTCACGGCCGGCAACATCGATACGGCGCATAGAAGAGGGGATCGCAAACCCCTCGTATACGGGAACCGCATGCGAGACACCGTCACCCGAATCTAACACGCAACCCGTGGTACGTCCGCTGGCGTAGAGAGAGAGAACAGCTTGTATGGATGTGTATAGGGCGGGAACGTTAAAGGTTTCAAAGAGTATTTGAGCTGCCGTGTCACGATTTGCTCGAGGGTTAAGTGGTGGTTCGGTTAAGAGGACAGGATGCTAGTGGAGATATCAATATTAGAGGTGTGATATTGGAATAGGGGTCCCAGGGTCATACATACCTCTTCGCTGATAGTCTTGAGTCCTTCGCTATAGACATACTCCCATATCTTCTCCATATCATCCCAATCCGTGACTATGCCATGTTCTAAAGGGTATCTTATCTTTAGGAGCCCTCTCAGCTCCGTCGCCGCCTTTTGGCCAATGAATACCTCGCCTTCTAAAGCACCGGCAAGTACTCGCAAGTGCTTCGGTCGACCTACAAAGGAAGGGAAGTAACATTTAGGTAGATCGTCTCCTGCAAAACCCGCCCGAATTGTACCAGAACCATTATCCAGTACAATGGGCGCGTTGTGGAGGGAGTCTGTCATTGTGGGCGTCTGGGCGTTTAAACAGCTCTTCGTCTGTATCCACTTCTGTCTCCCCTTTACCCTTTGCACTTGACCCTTAACCGTCTAATCCCTCGCTTTCGAATCTGAGAATTGCGAGTTTTTACTCTTCGCCACCAAGCCGTAATTTTCGCAAATTACAATCAGATAAAGTCGGTGTCCTCCTGTTTATTGACCACAAGGGCTCGTAGCAGTTTGAAGCGAATTCGGAGATTCAAGAGTATTATTATTAACTATAAAATAGCAAGTGGATGTAGAAGAAAGGGTTCGGTCGTCACCTCGTAAGTCCAAGAAGCATTTCGTGTAGTGGTTGTCGAGTGGGAAGGTTGTGCAGCGTTGGCGATTGGCTTGGGACAATTTTTCGGCGAAGCTTCAAATTCACGACGCGCCTTTGCCCAGGTGCCCTTTCCCTTTCTTTGGATGGTTCAGGAGCTCCTGCAGGGGCTTGTTGTCGAATGGGGTACGTATTTACACGTGGCCCGAGCTTCATTCGCTTAGTGCACTGACCACTACCTTATCTCGAATTGCCCACTACGCTAACAGGTACGAAGTACAACAAGAAATATCGCCAATCAATCGCTTTTACAAAAGTCAATTCTTATTCTTTACTCTTGAGCATCTCATAATCTTGTAATGTAAATCTAGTTATGGAAATTTCAAATTTCTATTCAAACAAGCCTCACAGCGCATCAATATTAATGATCCCAAATCTCATCTCAATACTATTACGGTAATAGTACGGATTATTACCACCTAATCTTCGTGCATGAATCGATGCAGCGCTTCGTTCCTGGCGATATTCTCCCTAATTCGCTTGCCGAAAATCCATATAGGAATAGTCAATACATTCACGGCAACAAACACAGCACCAAGTACGTTGAAGACCGCGAGGACTCCATATTTTGCTAGCCAGTCGTTGACGAAATAAGTCAAACCAAAAGTTAGGATGTTTCGAGCATTGATAGCCACGAATGCTGTAAAGAGATAATGATTAGCATATACTCGAGATTCCCACTAACAATGAATAAGAGGAAGTATACCTTCTTCGCTTAGCTCCTTATGAGCGTCGATGACATAACCAAAAACAGATGCATTAGACAGAGCAAGACTCATGTTTGCTAAACCAAAGCATAGAACCGGCCCGGACCAATGAGTTTGATAATGAACAGTAGCGCCAAATCCAAAGAAGCCGACGATACCAACAAAGAATGAGATGATAATTGGTGGTAGTCGGAACTCGGGCTCGTAGATACCACGATTCTTCTTGGCCAGGTACATGCAAACCCAGTCGGTCAATGGGCCCGACAAGACCTCACCAACGAAGGTGAGAATGAAGGGGGATAGCGAGATCAACCCTGTTTCCGATACCGAGAAACTGTACGGTGGAGCCGTAAAGATGACTGCGTTCACGACGCTGAATACCACAATCCAAGTCAAGGTGACCCCGTAAAGCAAGAATGCCCAAAGGACGGCTGGATAGAAGAAGACGACGACCGGGCGTAGAAAGATCTTCCAAAGGGGCGTGTTGGTATAAATAGTACCACTCCAGAGTTTCAAGCTTCGTAGATACGAATCCTTGCGTTCAGTCACCACACCAGTCTCTATAGTTTCTACCTTGGCACTGTCTGGTCCGGATGAGGTATCCTTCTTCTCTGAAGTATCTGGCTTGGCATCATGGCTGGTGGCATCTTTAACTGCTAGTTGTTGCTCAAACGACCGTCTTCTATACGCGGTTTCGGGGACAAAGAGTATCACGAAAGGGAGAAGCATGCCAAAGATTATGGCACACCAGATCAAAGTCCACTGCCAGCCTTGATCCTACGAATATGTTAGCGAGTTTAGCGCAGCAGAGTCCCAAATATGACTTACTTCGATAATATAACCGGCAATAAGAGCACCTCCGCTTATACCACATAACAAGAACATATTCCAGACGGCGATTCTAGTGGCCCGTTGGTGGACATAGTAGATGTCGGCGATCGTGCACTGTACGAGTATCTCGTAAGGTGCCATTCCTAAGCCGCTCCATACTCTGCTACCCAAGAAGCTACTGTAGTCCTTCGCAAGGGCTCCCCAGATGCTTCCGGAGAGCATAATGATGCTCGATACCACATATACCGGGCGCCGCCCAACCTTTTTAGCAAGCGGGTTGAAGATGAATAGTGAGAGCCCAATCGTCAAAACTACCCAGGCTGTTGCTTGGGAAAGTGTATTGACCGTTACATTGAGCGCCGCGGCGATTTCAACAAAGCCCGGTGAAATCATCGGCCCATAGGCGCCCACAACTCCGGCAGAGAGACCTACGACAACAAGAATGACATCTTTGCGCCATGTCGGCCACTACATTCTTGTGAGTTCCTAATTCCCAAGCTTCTCTGCTGTAGTAAACTCACATTAAGAGGATCGTTGGGAGAGTCGCTTGGCTGAGGAGTCAATATGATATTGGAATATTTCCCGGTACCATGTTTGAGCAGCTCTCGAGAGACGTTTCGGTATTCGTCCGGTATATCGGACTGATCCGTAAGTATTACTGGAACTTGGATTAGCATCTGTTTTACCGCTTTTTTCACTTTAAAAGGTTTCCGTACCTGTTCCAGGGACATGTCCCTCATGCTTGCTCTCGAGGATTCCCCAAGGCATCGTGCCAACTTGCTTTGACGCGAATGATCCAGTAGTCTTTTGTCTATTGTTCTACAAAATCAATTGACGTTACTAGCACACGTCTAGGGGACAACCATGTCTAAATACATATGTAACAGTTGGAGATCCATGTTGATAAGCACTGACTACTCCTCGCGGTGGCCATGAATGTACAGGCAAGGGTTCAAATGACGGCGAGACGCATATGCAGTATAGCGTAGCATCGCGCCGCTCCCCGTTACGATTGCCAACAAAATAAGCACAGATCCACGGACTTTCCGCACATCCTAAACCTGATTAATAGAAACTCCACGTCTCTAAACTTGGGGAAATAAATATTCTACGGGGTATCAGACGGCTCCGCGAGCTTCCCCACTCGGAATTGAACAAGGGGTTAACGAACCAGAACCGAAGTATCCTATCCCATTGAACCTTTCATTGGCTACTCTCAGCAAGGGACTATATGAAGCCTGCCTGGGGTAATCACCTCAACATTTAACCATCATCTCGTACTACGGTCCAGAGACTACCGTCGCGGCGCAACTGCCGATACCCCTTCCAGGTCCAGATGCGGGGAATGTCGATTCTAATATAGTGAAGTTGAGGAACTAGATAGGTAAGTTCATACCTCCACCATGGAGATTCAGCAATTGCCAAGTAGAAGTATGTGCCGCCCGGCTAGTTTAGATGTCATGTGAGAACGCGAGGCCTATACAGTTAAGTTAGACTGATCCAGCCAGTTGATCATACCCGAGGTCAACTCGAAGACGGATTAATGATAAACGCCTACTCCGCCAATCCCGATGTTTAAGAAAGATAGAGGGACGATCGAAAAGATTTCTCAATAAAACGAATATATTTAACAAAATGGCCGAGTCACAGAAATCTGCGCAGACAGGCATCAAGGTGATCGTGGTGGGTACGGGTTTCGCAGGACTAACAGCCGCGATAGAGTGCCACCGCAAGGGACATGATGTATTAGTGCTCGAGAAATTCCAAGAGCTTAAGCTCCTAGGCGACATTATTTCATTTGGACCCAACTCGTCGCGATTATTCCGTCGATGGCCAGGTGTCGCCGAGCAATTGGAGCCCCTTAGTATGAGAGCTGACGCGATCACTCTGAAATCCTGGAAAGGAGAAACACTCTTCACCCAATACTGGGAGGGTGAAGATGCAGAGTTTGGCATCCGTTATGATGGCCACCGCGGCGAGTTCCACGAGGTCGTTTATAACCATGCCAAAGAAATCGGCGTCAAGATTCGGCTCAATGCTCGTGTCGAGGACTACTTCGAAGACGATAAGGAAGCGGGCGTAGTCCTTGACAATGGCGAGCGAATTACGGCTGATGTCGTGATCGCGGCCGAGGGTGTACGTAGTAAGGGCCGCAAGATTGTTCTCGGATTTGAGGATAAGCCCAAGCCTTCCGGCTACGCTGTATACCGCAGTTGGTTCAGCGCCGACGAGATTGCAAAGGATCCTGACACAAAATTCTTTACCGAGGGTGGTGACAAGCACGTTGCTTGGCTCGGCCCGGATGTACACTTCATCGCAGCCTGCATGAAGGGGGGTAAGGATTTCTCGTGGGTATGTACGCATAAAGACGAGGCGGATATAGAAGAGAGTTGGCAACTTGAGGCGCCGCTGGAAGACGCGCGCAAAGTGCTCGAGGGCTGGGATCCTATCGTACAGAAGATCCTGGACAAAACGCCGTCGCCCCTAATCGACTGGAAGCTCGTCTACCGCGACCCCTTACCAACATGGATCTCGAAAGATAGGCGTATCGCTCTGATTGGTGACTCGGCCCATCCGTTTTTGCCGACCTCTATTCAGGGGGCTTCGCAGGCAATGGAGGATGGAGTCACGATCGCCGTATGCCTGCGCGAATGCGGCGGCTCCGACAAAGTCCAGGAAGCAGTCGCGGCATTTGAAGCGATCCGATACGAGCGCGTCAAATCTGCCCAGAAGACGGGTGAGCAGACACGTGACATCTGGCACAAGGCGGACTTCGACGCTGCTAAGAAGAACCCCGAAAGCATGAGGCTAAGACGCGAGGCCTGGATACTCGGGTTCGATGCTGAGGAATATGCCGAGGATAACTACGAGCGCACAGTTGAGGTCCTCAGACGCACGGGCTTACACGATACTAGTGAGGCAAGAAAGCTACACCTGCCTGAAGGAAAGCACGGGTATCTTGAATACGGAAATGGAAATGATAAAGGAACTGATATTTCTGCTGCCGCTCATGCGGTCAACGGTACTGTTATATCATAAATAGGTATATATATATATATAGACACATAGAAGAGGTTGAAGATGGTCGACAACGTTGTACGACTTCCAAGAATGCAGTACGACTCCAGACGATTTGTCCGCTTCTCCTTCTCAATGCTCCCTATTTGCTCTTCTTCAAGTTGATTAGGTAGTGAGCCGAAACGCCTCTGATATCATCATGTAGAAAACAGCCAGTTATTCTGTTTCTCTCTGGCTAACCAAAAACGCCTTCCGGTGTCGTAAATGCTGGGATTCTATGTACAGGTGTATAATCGTCGAAGTAGTGAATGGTAGGTATTATATAACCCGGTATATATGCAAAGGTAACACATGTTCGAAGCGAATTAGAACTATCCCATGTGGCCGTCGAGGACGGCCTTGCAGATGAAAGGCCAAGAGAGGAAGCCGCCTAGAGCAGGGAAGTATCTAAGATATGACAGTCAGCTTCATGTTCTTCACCATCTGTAGGTATATATATAGGGGTTCGAAGACGGGATGAAACTTACACTGCAGCAACACCGACACGAGCTCGTGCGATGCGGCCCCAGTCACCGCGCTGAGACGGGCCGGCTGAGGGGAGGGCTTCAGTAGGGCCCTCGACGATCCTGGCTGATTGACGGAAGCCCTTGAAGGCTTGCCGGGCAAGGGCGGAAAGGGGGGATCGGGCGGCGTGAGCGGCGATAGCTGACATTTTGATTTTAGGGGGTTGAAACTTAGATAGTTTAAGAAGTGTGGATGGTTGTCGTTATAGTTCAAGTGTCTAATAAGACAAGGTTTCGAAGTAGACTTTTTTCTGAGTTGAGATGAACTTCTCGAGAAGTGAGATGTCTATATTGCTCTATTGAGACTTTGGAGAGGAGATGTCTTTTTTGAAATGTTTTATAATTGATGAGTGAAGATGTCTATGTTGCTGCTGCTGATGATGATGATAATACACATTATTCCAAATTCCCAGACTCGCGGCCGCTCTTATATTACATGCTAACCCTCCGGCTCCTACGGCGAAGGATAATAATAATCACACTCCCAACACTCCACGGCCCCAGAGCCAGAGCCAGAATGTTCGTCGATACTGGCGAACGTATGACCCAAGACCCGTTCAGGGCTTAGCTGGGAATCCAGCGCCGCGGTTCTGACAGGTAGTTCGGGCTGGTCCATGACGGCATGCGGCACCTATCCCCAGAAAGCTTACCGTTGACTCCTGTACATACTAATAGGTCTAGGGGGGTAGTCTGCGCCTTGGGTATCTGGTGAGGGCAGTCATCGTGTCACGCCACGCGGCTGCGCGTATTCAGCTAGAAGGGCGATATCTGGGTAGCCGGCGAAAAGGGACCGGAGATGAGAGGCTGAAAAATCAGGTCGTTGGGTGCGCGCTTATGGCATTCTGGCCTGCTGCGTGGTACGATGCTAGCGACGGGTGGTGTGATCGGAGTTGGCCGATGGGTTGTGGGAGTGGGTTAAATGGGGGAGAAGAGCGGGTCGGGTTAAAGATTTGACAACGGGAGGGAAAGTCTGGATTGAGGCACGTGATTTTGTGTGTTTCTTACTAGCCCGAGCTTATTTTGGTCTTTTCTGTCTGTCAATTATTACTTTTGTGCCTATATTTGATGCAAGCAACCTTGTTGCAATAGAATGGCTTCGACTATATAACATTTGTTGATATTCGCCTTTTTGATATACTCTTTTGTGTATCTGATTTCGCATTTTAGCTTCTCTATTCTGGTATCTCTTCAAAATAATACGTTAAGCGACAAGATCCTCTATTAGCTCACTTACAGCAGACATAGCTCTAGACCATCAGAACTCGAATCCCGCGAAATTATAACTTCGCTTGTATTCATAATTCTAATACAGAACTCAAAGTAGCCATCATGGTCTCGATAAATATGATAACCTTGACAGCTCTAGCATAATGTTGGTTTTGCTTCAGTCTACTAAATATACCCGATTTCAACAAGACCGAACTTGATGTCACATCGCCGCTCGGTAGGAGCGAGTGAAACACGTTCCCAATGCCCAAAAAGTACAGCACATCTATCTCTAATTGATTGAAACGTTCCATTACCTGCCTAATTGCGCACTCCTCAAGGCGTTGCAAACGAATACCAAGGAAGCCTTAGACCTTGACTATAGCGACTTTGTGCCCCTTGTAAAGCTTAGCTTTATACACCCAAGATACGAATTCTAAGATAAACTTACAACAATGATAGCGCACGATCCAGCCCTAGAACATCACGGCTCTCGGAACTGCTACAAGCCCAATGGCTGGCACATACCGACTTAGCGAAACCATCTTCTCGAATAAGGATTGGAACCGGCCTGCTAAAACAAGCCAAATTCAACTTTCACCCTTGTCGGCGCTCTCTAAGCATCTATAAGTAATCCACTATGCTCATATTGAACTATACAAAGACCACTATGTTGCCAAATCTGGATAGTTGCACTTGACAATTGGACCTTGCATACTACTATGCATATTCACCTGGCTAGTTAATCCCATGATGATTTCGCTAAGGCGACAGAATGTCTCCCGGTAGAGGAGCCGAGGATACGATGGCATTCCTAATGGTAGTACTAGCACGGACGTTGCGATAATGTGTCACGATGTCTATATAATAACTATCTGGCGCCCATATGATGATCTACATAGGCTGTGTGATGATCACAATCTACATAAACTACAAGCATATCAGCCCTGTGCATCATGTTCGTTTCTAAGATCTTCTTCGCGGCACTTGCCATCGTCGGGGTAGCATCAGCCGCCCCGGCCTCCCTTGCCAAGCGCCTACCGGGCCGCGTTGTGAAAGCCGGTGAACCGGTAGTGATCGACACCAACTCTGAGTACGTCCGAGTTAGCTTTATGAACGACGGCAGCCTGCTTGGCGGATACGCTGCCAGGGATGGCACTCAAAACGTCTTGCGCGTCGTGAAGTCTACCAACGGCGGCCAGTCGTGGGAGCATCTCGGCGAAGTGTTCCGAGGCGAAATCGCAACCCACGACATCAACAACGCCATGCCGCTTCAGCTGCCCAACGGCCGCATCCTGTACGCGTACCGGAACCACGATCGCACGGGCGACGACTGGCATTACACGTACTTCCGCATCTCGATCTCGTACTCGGACGACGGCGGCAAGACCTTCAAGTATCTCTCCACTGTCGAAGAGCACGTCCCGTCGGGCGTCAACGGCCTTTGGGAGCCGTTCCTGCGAATCGCTAGGGATGGATCGCTGCAGTGCTATTACTCTGCTGAGAACAGCGGGGGCGACCAGGACAACTTCATGAAGTACTCCACAGACGGCGGCGCGACGTGGTCTCACTGGGTTGCCGTCTCGGGCGGCGATAAGACTTCTCGCGATGGTATGGTTGGCGTTGCGCCTATTGATAATAACGGAAATCTCATGTCAGTAATCCCCAGCCATCGAGTTCCTCCCTGCTATCACACGAACCTTGAAACCCCCCCACTGACATCTCTCCCCAGCGCCGTCTTCGAAAACACCGAAAGCGGGGTCTTCTCAGTCAACTACGTGCTCTCGCACGACGACGGACGATCGTGGGGCTCGCGCGGCCGGCTGTACACGGCGCGCAACGGGAAGCTGGCGGGGGCGCCGCAGGTGTACAACGTGTGGGGCACGCTGGTGGCCAGCTTCATGACGAACGAGGACGTGGAGGGCACGAGCGGGTACGACGGCGCGCAGATGAAGGTTATTACTAGCGTGGACGGCGGCAAGACGTGGTCCGGCAGCGTGGTTACCGGGGAGGCGGCGTCGCATTGGCCGGGCGTGTTTAATCGCGATGCTACGCATTTCTTGGCGCTGTATTCGAAGGATGGGCTCGGGGCTGTTAGTCAGTTGTATGAGTTGAAGGATTAGGGCAGTGGTTGTTTGTGGCGAGGTCTGTCGTTGATGGCGGGTGTTTGCGTCTTAGGTCAGGCTAGCTTCTGAGGAAGCTGATCTTTGTTTGGTCTTTGGTCGTTTAACCCAAGTTGTATATAGTTCCATTTGTCGTATATATTCTACAGACATTACGAGTCGTAAATATAAATTTGATTGTCAATATGCTCGAATCAGTTGCTGTAGGATATGAGGCTGAGGTAGGTGCTATTACCCAAAGCCTCTAATTGCATTTTCATCTTGTTGATAGGGAAGTATTCAAGAACGTTGACAGACCTGCATACATTAGGTCTCGTAGGTAAAATTTCCACCACTACCTGTCAGTTCCAATGGAAAGCTGTATCCTATCTCTCGAGGTGTTTGGCATCACATCATTGTAAGGGGCGTCGGCTGCAGCGTTGAGATTTATTGTTGAGTGCTTGGCGATTTGTTCAACTACGATCGGATTTGTATTATTGGGCCACTTAATGACCTGCTACGTGACATCGGCCGCTGGATGCATTTATCCTAGGTGACTCTACTACAAAATCAGCGAAGTCATTTAGTTGTAGGTGTATTTCATACATCTTGATTAATATGATCTATCGCGACTATCCTCGTATACATCCAACCCAGGCACACGTACGCTTGGGATGCATGCTTCCGACGATGATGTTGAACCAATCAGATTTGGTCGATGGATGTGCTTGCTTCTAGTTGGCTAGAATCTAGCCACTAATACTGTCGCGAAGAAAGATGATAATAGCCTTACATTCTACAGATGCAATCGCAGTTTCACAAAGTATGTGGACTCATTTAGTTAGGGCTCTCGTTTAATCATGTAGGTATCTTATTCATATACTTAATTACTGTGCGGGCTTGGATGTAGGGTTTCGACAAATGTACAGGATATGGAAACAGTAATATAGCTTGTATCTTTTATATTATCATTAGGTCTAAGATGTAGTTTTAGTTAACCAACTACTGTTTGTATTGTTTAGCATTGGAGGAGTTTATACCCCCTTCCACCCGGGAACTTGCGGTACAATGGCACTATAGTTGCGGTGGTATGAAAAGACAGTCGGTAATTTTTTAATATATAAGTGGACTTGGATGCGACGTAAAGAGCACTTGAATTTGTTGCTGCTTTAGGTTAGTTGTTTATACCAAGCATGACAAAATAACCAAGGCTTATTAAATTAATTCAGTAGTATAGTATATCAAATTGCTGTGTGTAACGTGATATTGTACTGATATTTATAAGGAAAGTTAGTTAAAGTACATAGATAACTAGGTACGGAATAAATAAACTCGTTTTATAAGACTATTCTTGGCATGTACTATTGAAATATTAAGGTAGTCTTGTGCTATTATCAAAACTAATACATAATTTAAATAAAGCGTGGGGGAGTCATCACCCTCATGTATGGCCGCACCATACAACATGATATCGAATACGAACATTGTAAGTCGCGTATTTTAAGCGCGCGCTATAAACGTGACCGATACCTATATTGCTTGTTTATTATCGCGGAGACCTAACAATTATCAGGCACATATGACAGCATAGTAAAATTGATCATTTCTTAGGTAAATATTAGCATACGAGTTTTTAATAGCGCTTACTGCGATGGTGGATAGTACGCGACGTGTCAATTATGCGGTTGGGAATCCGGACGAGGAATATTGAAACGTTGCTAATAAAGGGTCTTATATGATTGGTGATTGGTCCTGGTGGAGGCGGTCTTCTGATCGAGATATAGTGTACTTGGATGAACATTGACAGAACATCAACTAAATACGTGGATAGAAAAGAATAAAACAAGGAGCGACTTTAGGTATATTTAGATGTAATTTACGTAAGTACCTAAATGTAAAATATTCGCGTGTGACATAGTGGATAGTGCAAGTGCAAGTGGTTATATTAATCTCGGCCGGTAATTTCCTATTTCCATAAGTTAAAAAGGTTTTCCTGCATAAGTAACCCTCTATTTCAGATCTAACAGGCAAGTCCATTCTATTTCATGACTAAATGAATATAGTATCAGGTTTGTACATTAGGTAACGATGGTAGTAATTTAAGTTAGTAAAAAAAAGGTACGGCTCTCGAAATCATTTCCCAATGACCTCGAATTATAAAGTCCGTTAAAACAATAGTCCGACAAGCGACTCCACATCTTAAACCTATCGCACGGGCCACATTATGGACTAAACCGTCGACGCTAATTCTACTACATACAGCATTGACTTGTTCCTAGGAAATTCATCTTCTATTATGTGCCAGACTATCTTCCCGGTTGCATATTCTTTTCCCGAATGGTCATTTGCACACCGACTTGTCAAAACCGTTGTTGCGCTGTGATGAAGAATATTCCCGTAACATCAAAAACCCCATTTGCATTTTACGCAGTGTAAAATCCCGATCGGCGCGATCCCAATCCGTTTTGGTGTCTAAGCTTGCCAGCTAAATCCCCCTACGGACCATCTTACGGACCATGACGAGGAAGCCTTGCAGCCGTATTAGATCGTATACCGCGAGGGTATTAATCGCTACCGGTATGTTGTTTTTAAACATTTTTACTTACTGCTCTTCACTTTAAGTCTTTTTTTTTTGTTTTTTTTGTGGCGAGGCTGGTCTATGATGAACAAATATGGTAAAAGGGCGGACTGCATCTATGGATACTGCTGGTTTTAAATTCTATAACCCGCCTCAAATTCTGCCGGTGTTTTCTATTTGAGAACGCGTCTTCAACCCCCGCAACATCTTATGTAGGACTCGCCACACTTAAGCTATTGGCCCGTCCATCTCTTCGGGGAGAAGGCAAAGAAAGTTGCAGCAATAGCTGCATGTTCCGCTATATAGGAGCCTAGCTTTGCATTGCCACCATAAAGCAGGACCAAAGGCTGCGGTGAATATACCCCCCCAAACTCTGGGGATCGTGATAAGCGAGGTTCGGAATTCGAAGCCGGTGTATCCTGCAGGTTGATGACTCAAATTAAAAACTGAAAAGATCTGAGACAAGCCTCCCATTTCGTTATCATTTATCGGGTGTGCATACTAGTTATTATATCCAATCTAACATTGTCTATAGGACCTCATTTCTTATTGGTACCTAAAGATATAGGTCGGGTATACGACCACCTTTCATCTTTTTAAGAAACGACAGTGGGCAACATCACAAGACGAATTGTTTAGGTATTCAAGCCACCTTTTTAGCAAGCTCTTATTTCTCCTATCTCTGTTCTTATTGCTACCGCCATTTTTTAACGGGCTTGTTCAACCATTTCAGTAAGTACCTGCTAGTCATTCACCCCGCCAATTCACTTTTTCTTTTTTTCGTCTTTTAAATCATCTACCCGTATTATCTAATGGTGTCTTTTCCTCGTTTCTACTTTTATGCGATTTAGCAATCACATTTGCCTGCAGCGCATCCCCACGATCTCTCACTCATTTCGTAGCTTTCAAGTATTGACTTTCCACTTGAGGTAGTTCCCAGTGTAATCACTGAAGTTATTTCCATCGTAAGGGAAAAGGCGGCTAAGATGACACGACTTCGACAAAACTCAAGGGAACGAACGCAGGTATCTTATCGTTATTTTCATAAGCCCTCGCGGCTACCCACACATTGGGACTTAACGAAGCCTCCTTCCTGCCGTATCACGTTCTTAGATAGGGTGTGATTGGGTTATCCCAAAAAAATTTGAGTCATGGAGAATAACCAGTACATCTTACAACAATGCCAATTCGAAGAATGCGAATCTACTATCTTCATCAAGGGACCTTATTGCACAAAGCATACCGATGACATAGACGCGTTCAAGCCTGCAACCGTCATGACGCCCTCCTCTACTCCAGGTCATCAGCAGCCAAGCAATGATCAACATTTGCAAAGGCCCGCATCGCAGCCCACCACTGCCATGATCCCCCAATCAGAGAAGCTGGGAGATGCTATCACTGTGAAAGCTCCTCTTCTAATGGCGGGTCCTGCGAACGAAAAGAAGCACCTTCCCACTAAAATGGTGGCGAGAAAAACTGCCGGCAACGCGTTTTCCAACTCAAAGCACGAACCAGTAGGCACTCGCAAGTCTGAGCCCAAGCTTCCTTTTTATGCTAGCTCTTCTAGAGGCATTGCTTCCTCGAGTCAACGGCCACCAAAACGGCCAAGGTTGTCTACTGATGTGGATAAAGGCGAAATAGAGGCCTATCATCGTGTTTCCTCATTTCCTGAGAGCGGCTCTTATCCATCTCCTGTGGCAGCATCGACTAATATTGGTGAACGTGATCATGAACCCGTGGCAGCTTCTGACTTTGCTCTTCGGCCAAGGAATGGAATTTCTTCTCCGTTAGAAACGCCATCAAGGCGTGGATCACGGGATGATCGTCCAGCTCCGAAACCTTTCTACAAGGATCGGCCACGTAAGCAACAAGGTCTATATGACAATTCCAAGAGTTATGAAGTTCCAACTCACGAGATCATAGACCTCACAGAGGATGACAATCCTCGCCCCCAACCTTCGAGCAAAACCGTTGAAAATCTGAATGTCAGTATAGAGAAGGATCAAGAAGATCATACTGGAGGTCCAAACCCTCGCACTGCACATATCGCTTCTGAATCAAGACGCGAGGGGGAGTCAATAAAGGTGCAAGTCTCTAAAAGTAAAGACACGAATAAGCCTCATCGAAATAATGCAACAGGTCGGAAGGAGCAGAACAGTGTTCGCAAGATAAATTCCAATTTGATAATTCGGCCCCTCCCGCGGAAGCCTCACGTTCATATCGCACCTCGGCCCGCGCCGACGTTGCCTTCGCCAGACTCGCAGGTCGCTTCACCGCCAACGGAACCCAAACCAGCCAACGACAAACAAGTCTCTGTCCATCGTCCTAAATCGCCCCTTGAAAACCCCGCAGCTGAACCCTGTCAGACCGATAATCAAGATCAACAAAAAAGCGCTGTACCAGAACCGGCGGAAGATACTGGAAGAGTTGTCAATGGTGCTGCTACTGATCCCCCACCAGTAACGTCTACTGCTCCTACTACAATTGCAACGTCGGACACTACAAAGGTTAACGGGGTGCATCGCATACCACAAGTCCCGACGAAGGAACAGGTAAATGAATATATACGCAATATACTTGAAAATCCGACAAGGATAAACATTCCCACCCCCAAAAGCCCCAGAATTGATTTAGGTACCCCATTGCCTCGGTTAAATTCTGAGGAAGCATCTGATCCCACACACCAGTCACCAAGTAGGGGAGATTCGGATCCTTCAGATACGCAGACACTCGGTAGGTCACAGGTGACGGAGAAACGTCCCTCGGCAAAACGCCATCAGGCCGTGCCAAAGACGGCGCAACCTACCAATAATCGAAACACAGCAAAGAGACCTGCCAATCCACCGGTTGACGAATCAACTCTTGCATCTATAGTTCAAAACCGACGCTGGAAACACCTGAACCCCGAGGAAAGGCGGCAGGTCTGGATATCTAAACATGATCCCGATAAATTCGACTCTTATATCTACGGCAAACTTAATGAAGCTAATAGACCTGGCTCTACATTGTTCGGTCTACCTGAATATCAACAACCTCCGCGCCCAACTCGTCCAGCAACACATTTTGGTCATATAGACCCGCGGGTCCACTGGACACGGCCCCACTCCAAGAAGTGGTATCTTGAAAAGCAGAACGAGATTCGTGAACGGGGAAATAGAAAGAGTAATTTTAGCCAAGTTGCAGCCCGTGCAGTAAAGCGGAGACGAGAAGAAGGCGACGACGCGCCCAGAATCGACTTACCTGATCGAGTGCGGAATAACCCCGCCTGGTTATCCGCTCTAGATGAATTGGACGCGATGGCAGACCAGTATTACGCGCAAAGGCATCATGTCCGTCAAAAAGGCGTCCAGAAAAAGGAGATGGAAGGTAAAATTATGGCTATGGATGAAGATAGTGATATCGAAATGGACGAAGATCCAGCAGAGGCCGTTTAAAGGTTCCAAAAGTGAGCTATAATTCCACATTTCTGGCATGACTAGCCGCCCGTGAAGTTAATTGTCCGAGGACTACTCAAAAATGCACATATATAACGTTTTTGGCTGGCGCTGCTACGAATAGCTAGGCTCTCAATGGCATGGCAATATGGATAATATGGAAGTGATTTTTAGAGAGCATTGCATTGGATGGTGCGAGGCGTCTTCGGAGAGGGAAATACCACCGACTAGGAGGTGGCTTTAGGTTCATGGAAGAGCTAGAAATACTAAATGAACCAGGATGGTTCGAGGTAACCAATTAATAATATACACCTTGATCATATTTACATGCGATTCGGATATCCTGCGAAATTACTATGCGTATGATATTACTAGAAATTGACATTTAAACTTGAATGTTTGACATGGCCAGTAGTTTTAAGGGGATAGGGAATCCTGCGCTTTGTTTCTTTACTTTTCTTTTTTTAAGAACAGATACCCGAGACCAAAATTATAGACTATTACTAATTAAATAGCTATAGTTTATGTTACCTTCCCCGAGTTACCATGGATCCATGGTGTACATCACAACCCCTTAGTTTCAAAGATTAGTGAGAATTAAGCAGTATTCCGAAACACCAGGTTAGCTGTTTATTAAGTAACTATAACAGCTTCTCGGGCAACATAATCCTTTCAAGTATTGAGCTGGATTCGAGACTTAGGTATGCTATTATAGTCATCTTTAGTATAGTCGCTACCTAGGTATATTAATAATCAAGTTAGACAATAGTATAACTAGCAACTCGGGTCAAATAATTCATGTTCTCACTCTGTGCTTAAAAAACGTATCTATTTCTTCGTTGCAGCTTAAGAGTTCGACGGCTATGAAAATAAGCAAGAAATATCAACTGGCAACAGTATAGGTAGTAGGTAATAGCTTGTTTATGAAATGGCTTCCGGAGTAAAATGTGTAAAGCCTTCATTCAAGTCTTCCTTAGGACAGAGGTACGTTATCATGTCTATATTTCTTTTTTATATCTCGACTAAACTTTTCATATCCTGCCGCTTGGCATGCTTGTCTATAATTTCGTCGTATGAGCATAGACCATACATATCTGTCATCAAACGCGTAAGGTGACCTCTATCTGCCTCTAGATCCATCCGCATCACTCACTTCTTCGAGAGCAGATTCAGCGCACTGCCCGCCAGAATGAAACCCGCCTGGTCCTTGCTAACAGCGTGCTTCGTCTTGATGAGCACCTCCTCTCCGGTCTTGTGTTTCTTCACCTTAAGCGCCACCTCGCCCTTACCGCCATTTTGCAGCATCTCATATAAGCCAATTGTAGATACCTCGTCACCGGCACTAATCTTATCGTAGTCAGCCTCATCGGCGAAGGTCAGTGGTACGACACCCTGCTTCTTCAGGTTCGTCTCGTGGATACGCGCAAAGCTCTTGCAAAGCACGATTCTGGCGCCTAAGTACCGCGGCTGGAGCGCAGCGTGCTCTCGTGCGCTACCCTCTCCGTAGTTATGCTCTGCCACTACTAGCCACGGTTGCGCAGCCTCCCTCCAGCGCTTTCCTAGTTCGGGAATCGTGTGCTTGGACCCGTCTAAGTCGTAAGCAACGTTAACTTCGCCGGTCTCGGCATTTATCGCCGTGTTGAGCGTGTTCTCGCTGATATTGGGGAGATGGCCTTTATACTTCAACCAAGGACCGGCGGCGGAGATGGTGTCCGTCGTGCATTTTCCGGTGACTTTAACTAATACGCGAAGGCCTGAGAGTTCGGAGGTAGGGAAGGGGTCAAACGGTTCCAGAAGCGCAAGACGTTCCGAAGAGGGTGAAATGGCTACATCGACAGATGGGTCGGGGGCCTGGGTAAGGGGTCGAAACTGTTCTCGAGCTATCTCGAACGGCTGGGCTGGGATTTCGAGACCTGAAGGAGGTGTAAATCTGAATTCCTTGCCAGATGGGGTAGGAAGCGAGTCGGTTATAGGGTTGAAGGTGGTAGTGCCTGCGAAAGTCATGGCGGTAACAATTTCGGGCGATGCGAGGAAGTTCATAGTATCTGGGTTTCCGTCGTTGCGGCCGCGGAAGTTACGGTTATACGAGGTAAGTATAGCATTAGGGGTTCCCTTTTCGACGCCATCATGTCGTTTCCATTGACCAATGCAAGGGCCACAAGCATTTGAAAGCACAGTGCCACCAGCTTCTTTAAACGTATCTAGAGGACCGTCTCGTCGTATAGTTTCCCTAATTTGGTCACTTCCCGGCGTTATGTAGAAATCGGATGCGGGCTTTAAACCGGCCTCTATCGCCTCACGGACCATGCTCTCTACACGCGTCATATCCTCGTACGAACTGTTTGTGCAACTTCCAATCAGACCTGCTGATAGCTTGTCGGGCCAGTTTTGTTCCTGTACTGTTTGCTTAAACTGAGATAGCGGCGTAGATAGATCAGGGGTAAAGGGCCCATTGATATGAGGCTCTAGTGTGGATAAGTCGATGGTAATAACCTCGTCATATTTCGCACCAGCATCAGCCTTAAGCTGAACGATATCGGAGAACTTCTTTGCTTCCCTTGCTACGTCGTGTCGGTGTGTCGCCTCCAGATATCGCACGTGAGCGGCGTTAAAGGGGAAAATAGAGGTCGTAGCGCCAACTTCGGCGCCCATGTTACACATCGTCGAGGCGCCAGTACAGCTGAGTGTTTCTACACCAGGTCCAAAGTACTCGATAATAAACCCAGTGCCACCTCGTACCGTAAGTTGTCCCGCAAGGTTAAGAATGACATCCTTTGGTGCAGCCCAGCCACTGAGCTTGCCCTTCAGCTCTACTCCTAAAATACGAGGGGCCTTAAGTTCCCATGGCGCGCCGACGAGAGCTTCAACGGCATCAGCACCACCAACACCGATTGCTATCGTGGAAAGACCTCCAGCGTTAGGGGTGTGACTGTCAGTGCCTAGCATCATCAGGCCGGGGGCAGCGTAGTTTTCCAGGACGCTCTGGTGAATAATACCAGCACCAGGAGGCCAGAATTCGATTCCGTATTTCTTCGCCGCAGATTCTAGGAAGTCGAACACCTCCTGGTTCACCTTGATTCCCGTTTCCAAGTCGGCCTGTGCGCCTCGTTCGCCCACAATTAAGTGGTCGCAGTGAATGCTAGCCGGGATAGCTGTCGAGGGGAGATTGCAGGTCATGAACTGTAAAAGGGCCATTTGTGCTGAGGCATCCTGCATGGCAACTCGATCAGGCTTTAGCTTAAGATTTGCTGTCCCTCGAATATTTCGTCCACCATCCGTATTAGTCGTGAGGGATTCCTCGACATTATCTAAATGACTGTAGAGAATCTTCTCAGCTAGGGTAAGGGCAGCACCCTTACCCAGTACCTCTTTGACCTTTTCATAGTTCTTGGCCAACTTAAGGTACGGCGGTATTCGCGGGTTCGAAGTGTCGAATGTGGGTGTCGCAAAGGTACGTGTTAAAGGGATGCGTCCTTGGCAATTTCGAGTTAGGAGCCCCTATATACGGTATTAATTCTAGAACTAGGTGTAGTATATGAATTATACGTACTCGAAGAGGTGTGCCCCGACGGCACAGGAGATTAGCTGTCCTCATACTTTTTAATTGGCATCGCAGGAGCAAAAGCGTGCGATAAGAAATACTTTGCCGAAGAAAAAAAAAAGGGAACACTAAATTCATTGCGACAATTGACAATTCAGTCATTTTGATTGGACCACACAAAAAGTTACTTGCGATGCCGGAGCAAGTGGGGCAATGGTAAGTCCCTGTAAAATCTGGGGTACAGCAAGGACCGTATCATTAAGATGCACAGTGTAAATCTCGTTCTGGTGGATAGTATTATTTGATAATCCATTTTATTTGCGATGGGGAGTCGGGACTACGTAAAGATTTGAAAATAAAGACAGGTATGAACTAGGAAGTAGGAAGTAGGCTGATTGCTAATTTTATTTAGTAGCCTATAAAAATCGGGTTTAGGAACTTATTCAAAAATATTCTACAGGTAAACATCGAAGAACAGAAATTTGTATAACTACCATAGCGGGGTAGGGTGGGTACAGGGAACCGTTCGATAATTGAAAAACGTTCCCTGTAAAGTTTTCATACCATAACAGATGCCTCGTTCTCTATCGTGAGAATGATTCTCAAAAGGGGAACGGTTCTCTAATAGAGAACGTTCCCGGAAAAGTGGGTCCAAAAGGCTAAAAAGAGGCTAAAAAGGCTAAAAAAAGTCAAAAAACGCGGTCCTCGAACCCAGAGCTCTTGCGTTTGTGTAACATTAAATCTATTAAGGTTTAATGTTTAAAGTTTAGTGTTTAAACGTTTGAGCTAATGGGACGAGGTGGCCAATCTCATCGAATTATTTTTAAAAATTTAATTGCTTTTACCCCTTATATCCTTTACTTTCAAAAAAGAAATTTTTACTTAGAAAAAAAAAATTTTTTAAAAATTTTTTTTTTCTAAGTAAAATTGATAAGAATGCTTCCCAAAAAGGGAACGGTTCTTTAAGGGGGAATGGTTTTACACGTATCGAACGGCGGCTAGAAAGTGGGTCCAAAAATTAAGGTCTGTGACCCACTATTTTCGGATTTAGACCAATCAGAGGCCTGGAAACAGGGAACCGTTCTTTAATAGAGAACCGTTCCCTATAAATAACCGTTCTCTGAAAACCCCCATTTCCGCTATGGTAACGAGTAACTATAAGGAATGCAGACACATAATTATTTATTTTCGAGGAGCTCCTAAACTATCATATACCTACGAGTAATGAGATTTCTCTTAGACTAACATCATGGCTGTTGATTTCTACTTTAAGATAGTTTAGGTATGTTTATCAATTTTTAAGATCGACGCTTTATCTATCATTAGACACATCACTCTACTATAAAACGTATTATAATGCTCAGTATAATTATTAATACAACTTCTATATCATAGATTAGACTAGCTTCGAAAGGTGCACGCATTGTACAAAGATTAAGGGGCATATGGGAGATTACATCCATAGACAGCGGCAATGGTGAGTGCGTGATCATAACGTAATAAAGTGCCTACTGAACGACATCCGTAGATTGTAGAGATACCTAGGTAGGTAGATATGCTCATAACAGATACCTAGGGAGGCCTCTTAGAAGCTAATGCTAGGCGTGAATTAAAACATACCCAGGTATACTTTTACCTAAGGCATTCGGTCCAAATCATACCGGCTTCTAGAGATTTGCCGAATATTCCCCCGCGCTACGAAAAACCTCCTGAATATCCCTACCGGGGTCATCGTTCTATAACGCCAAGCAGTCGTAATTTCCTCCAGTCCAAGATGTATTGGGATGGACCGCCGCGTACATCCAGCTGGGGTCCCCACAGTCTCCGCATACTCTACCCCAAACCGCTCCCCGGTCTGTATAAGTTGGCGTGGAGAAATAAAAGCCGGGACGTAACCACATGTGCCGAGACAGCGGACTGGGTAGTGCACGAAGTATAGGCCGATGGAAGGGCCGATAGACCCGATTCAGTATCGGCTGGCCATCATTTTGATCTTATGACCCGCGTGATGTTTTTAGGCGTAGTTCGCCGTAAATCTCTGTTTCTCTGTTGCTGTCATACGAGTTGCAGCGGCTTCATAAATAGGAGACTCGAGGAGACGAGCTATGAATCTCTATAGGTCAGGAACCGAGCCACCGCTCTAGAATAAAGCACCTCTCAATACCACGAAGAACAATGAGCTCTCGTTTGCTCGCCTTATTGGCATTATCAGCGTGGCCTCTCAATGGCTTCTGCTTCAGCACACCTCGTGGGCCGAGACATTCACTCCTCAGCTATGCGGCCGGCAATGATTCAGGTGTCTCAGCCTATAGAGATTCTTCTCTATGTGTCAACGATAGAGTTGAAGATCTCCTTCAGCGGATGACCCTAGAGGAGAAAGCCGGTCAAATGTTCCATGCGATGCTGTTCATGGGTTCTAACGGTACACTAGATGAAGGGAGTGAAGCTGCCTTCCGGAATAGCACCGACTTCATGATCGGGGACCAATTCCTAACGCACTTTAACCTCGTTGGTGACATCACCGATGCGAGGCAGACAGCTGAGTTCTACAATCGCGTCCAACAACGAGCTCGAGAGACGCGTCTTGGAATTCCTATAACACTATCCTCTGATCCTCGACATCACTTCACCGAGAATATCGGAACTGGTTTCAACGCAGGCCGCTTCTCTCAGTGGCCCGAGACTCTCGGACTCGCCGCACTTCGAGATGCCGACTTAGTTCGGAGGTTCGCTGAGATCGCTCGCGAAGAATATCTAGCTGTTGGCCTGCGTGCTGCGCTACACCCGCAAGTGGACTTGACGACGGAGCCACGGTGGGCACGAATCGCTGGTACATTTGGTGAAGATTCGAACCTAACCGCTGAACTCCTTACGGCATATATCAAAGGCTTCCAAGGCGAGAAGTTCGGTCCTACTTCTGTAAGCACCGTGACGAAGCATTTTCCCGGCGGAGGTCCGATGGAAAACGGTGAAGACAGCCATTTCGCCTACGGGAAGAACGAGACATATCCCGGGAATAACTTCAACCACCATCTTATCCCCTTTAAGGCAGCTATTGCTGCAGGCGCCCGCCAAATGATGCCGTACTACAGCCGTCCGATTGGCACGCAGTACGAGCCTGTGGGGTTTTCGTTTAACAAGGGGATAGTCACAGACCTTCTGCGTAACGAGCTCGGATTCGAGGGCGTTGTGGTAACCGACTGGGGCTTGATTACTGATACATATATCGCTGGTCAATACATGCCTGCTCGGGCATGGGGAGTAGAGGACTTATCAGAGCTGGAGCGAGCAGCGCGCATCCTCGAAGCCGGGTGCGACCAATTCGGCGGCGAGACACGTCCTGAGCTGATCGTGCAGTTGGTCCATGAAGGCGTTATAAGCGAAGAACGCCTGGATGTCTCTGTGCGAAAGCTGCTGCGCGAAAAGTTCATCCTGGGACTTTTTGATAACCCATTCGTCGACCCGGATGCTGCCGTTCGCATTGTTGGGAATGATTATTTTACGCGCTTAGGCAATGAGGCCCAGCGTCGCTCGTACACACTGCTTACCAACAAGAATGAGACTTTACCACTTCGTAACGCTAGGCGGGAGACTAAATTCTATATTGAAGGTTTCAATGCGACTTTGCTACAAGATCGTAGTTATACGGTTGTGGACAAGCCCGAGGATGCTGATTACGCTCTTCTGCGGCTGGCAGCCCCTTACGAACCGCGACCGGGAGGGTTCGAGTCTGGATTTCATGCTGGATCTCTTGAGTTCTCAGCTGAAGAACGGGCGCGTCAAGAGGCTATATACTCGACAGTGCCGACTATTGTCGACATGATGTTAGATCGACCGGCCGCAGTGCCTGAAGTTGCAGATCAATCGGTGGCAATGCTAGCTAGCTTTGGAAGTAGCTCTGAGGCGTTCCTCGATATAATATTTGGCGTTGCTGAGCCTGAAGGCAAATTGCCGTATGACTTGCCACGTTCGAATGCAGCTGTCGAAGCGGCCATGGAAGATGTGCCGTTCGATACCAAAGACTCAGTGTTCAGATTCGGACATGGGCTAGGATACGCGGATCGGTGTGGGAAGACAGGATAAGACACCGAGTGACTGGATAACCAGTGGATTAACGATTCTAATGCTAGAAAAGGGGCATAATGAGAAGTTCTGGTTAATAGATAATCAAGTAATAATATCCAAAGAAAGAAACATACATGTTTCCCTTCTCAATACGACAATCGAGTTTTCTGAGCGTTTGATGGCTAGGAAAGTGAGAGTTTATAGGTATAGAAACCTCCTCCGTGACAATGTTGTCGCTGCACGAAGTATAACAAGTAACTTCCAACTACAACTAGTTAGCCTTTTACGTTGTGACAACATCCTACCAAGTTAGTTTTTACCACAGACAAAATCAAACAATGAATTTTTAGTTTTTGGCCAATCAAAAGTAAACATTTTCATTTTTGAGTGGATCCCAAAAAATATGAGGCTATTCAGACCCTTGTAAGGCTTACTTTTAGTATATATCCTAGCGGTCAGTCCTCGTATTACTAGCCCGTATAATCCGCATTACTCGTTTAAACCTAATGCCCTCGAGGCTATTCAGTGCGTCAAAAATTGGCTAAAAAAAGACGTTAAAATTTAGAGACTATCAGAGGCTGATTTTAACCCTATTATTAAGTTAAACAAAAGTGTCAACATCAAGTAAATAAACTTGTCTGTACTTTTTTTATTTAATTTGCGCAAGAAAAATAAAGGCGGTTTTTTGGGTTTATTTGGTTTGTTGGAAATGCTGATTATAAGTCCCTAACGGTTTGCTACATAGTTTTGTGCGATAAACTCTACCAAACAAGATCAATACAATTATATACATATTACAAAAGGCAACCCCGCTGGCTACACAATAGCCCTAAGTTTACGACCGATATAATTGGTTATATCCCCACTTTAATCCGTAAATTCTATATTTTTTAATTAAATACATCTTTTTACCACCCCACTACTTTAAATACCTTTTATTAAATGCATCGTTTTAATGCCATACCTCACTTTAAAAAAATTATTATATCTTATATAACTATAACATTAACCACACATACCACACCCTTTTACAAACCATTACAAATTATCTTAAATTTTAAATTTTTAATATTTTTTTAACTATATACATTTCACGTTATTACGCCATTTAAACTGTTAAAAATAATTTATTATATATTTTACTATTAAAAATATATACTTTATTATTTTACGTTTATTATATATTATGGTTTAATTTTAATCTTTTTTTTTTATATTACAACTTTACCGGTTTAATTTAACGTTATTAAAATAAAAAATTAAAATAAATATAAATTTTTTAAATAAACACATAATACAATAATATTATTTAATAATAATAAATAAAAATAATATTTTAAAATTTATTTATATATATAACACTTTTTATTTTTACTTATTTATTATAAATATTTAAATCGTTTTTAATTCTCGGTTTTATTTAATCTTTTACCTTTATAACTACAAACATTTAAAATCTTTAATTAATTCATTTACTTATACATTAAACTTTTTTTAATCATTATTTAAATTATTATTATTATTATTATCTTTCGCTTAAAATAAAATCATTTAATTTAAACATTTAATTTATTATTAAAATTATTTATTATATAAATAAAATATACAATAAATTCATTTTTCGTCCGCTTATCACTATTATTATAATTAATATTAAATTTAATAAAATAAAATTTTTTAAAACATTTATAATCAAAAATTTATAATATATTTTATTTTTATTACCGTTTTATATATATTTATATTAACAATATATATAAAACCTACTATATTAAATATAATAAAAATATATTATATTATTAACATTAATTTAATTAACCAAATAATTAATATTACCAATTTTATCTTTAACAAATTTAATATTAAATAATTTTAACTTATTTTTAAGCCATTTTTTAATATTAATAAAATTTCCAAAAAATTTAACCATATTAATTTTTACTTCATTAACAAAATCTTTATATTAATTATAATAACATTTTTACTCCACACTATATAAATTTAAAATTTACAATTAAAAAATTTACATATATATTTTAAATCAAAAAAAAACTTATATAATCAAATAATAAAAAAATATAAAACTAATAAATTAACTTAATATATACCTATTATAATAAAACAAAATAATAATAACAATACAAATAAAATTATTAAAAACATATATATAATTATCTTTTACCTTTTTATTAAAACGTAATTACATAAAAATAAACACATAATTTAACATAATAAAATTTATTACATTAACTATATTTAAAACTTTTAATATAATAAAATTAATAAATTAATTTTTTCCCATAAAATATAAAATACCTTTAAAACATTAAAGAAATCCAATTTTATTAACAATTATAATATAATTTTTTTTTTTTTCGTAAACTTATTAATTACAGTTAAATTTTCGTCTACATTAATAAAAAATATATATCGCAATAATTTTTATATAACTAATATTTTAATCAATCATTTTTTACCAATTTAATAATTATTATATAATATAACTTTTTTTATTTAATTCATTTTATTAAATATAAAAATTTAATGGTTTTTTAAATTTTTATAAATTATTAATAATAAAATTATTTAAATTTAAAAGCTTTATAAATGAATTATATTAATAATGCCAAATTTTTAAATATAAAATAAAAGTTTATTTAGTTAATATAATCGTAAACAAATTTAATCTTAATTATTATAAAATTTAAATACTTATTTTTCTTAAAAATAAATACTTAATTTAAAATATTTTAATTATAACTTTATTTTTAACTTTCTTTTTTATTAATATTTATAATATATTAATACATTTTTTTTTATAACCATTTAATTTTTCAAATTTTTTTTATTTAATATAATATATTTAAATTATTTAATTAATATTTTCTTATTTTTACAATATATCTTTTATTAAATAAATTTTATTTATTTATTATATATAATTTATAATTTACTTATTTAAATATTAAAAAAGTAACATTAACTATTATATTTTAAATAATATAATATTAAAAATCTTATTATTTACAAATATAATATATTACATTTAGTTTTTTTAATCCTTTTAATTAATAACGTTAACTTACATATATTTGCCTATTATTTAATATAAAAATAATATTTTCCTTTTAAAATTCTTATCTTTTTTCTTCCTTTTTTTTTCTTTTTTTTTACACTATTAAAATTCTTATAATATTTTATTTTACTTACTTTTTTTATTATTATATTATATTATTATAATATTTTTTAATTATTTAATTATATTTTTATTTATTTAAATTAATTTGGTAAAAATAATATACTTTTAAAAAATGCCATATTAATTATATATTAATAAAATAATAATTTATCTTTATTTAATAAATAATAAAAGTATAAAGGATTTAAATAAAATTAAAATTTATTACAATTTAATTTATTATATATTAAATATATTTTTATTAATTATTAAAATTATTAACTTATTTATTTTAACTAACGTTAAAATTATTATATATTATAACTATTATAGCTATAATATAACTTATAATTTTATAAATATTATTTATTTCTTTATATTTTATTTATTATTATAATATTAATATCTTATATAACATTATTATATTTAATATAATATTTTAAATCATATATAAAAACATTTTTAAATTTAAAAATATATTTAAATTTTCTTAATATCATTATATTATTATTATATTAATAATTAATATAATATAATTATATTTAATAAAATTTAAATTAATTATATTTTATATTTATAAATTAATATGTTTAAATAGTAAAATATTGTTTAAAATCTAATGGTTATTTATGAAATTTATTTTAAAATTAATAAAAATAGTAAATTAGGTAATAATATAATTTTAAATAAATATAAAATAATTTATATAAGATAATAAGAAATTATTTTAAAGCTTAACACGCTTTTTTAACCGTTTCGGTATATTACTTATCGTATGGTTTTTAAGTCGAAAAAATATAATATTGTTGGTTTAATGTATATCAAAATTAATTTATTTATTAAACGTTTTTTATTTATTATGTCAACGCTAAATATAAAAGATATTAATAAAGAAAAAAAAAGTATAATTTATTAAATTTGGTATAATTATATATAAAATTAATTTAAAATAAAAATAAAAAAATAATTATATGTTTTTATAATATAAAGTTTTTATTATTCTTTAATTTTAATCTTATTTATATTAAATTTTTTGGTTTAATTATTAAAGTTAAATAAATAAAAGGTTAAATTAATTTTATAAATTATTATTATTTTTTCATTTAATTTCATTAACCAATTAATTCTTACCTTTATTTTAAACAGTAAATATAATAATATCCAATAATCTTTATTAATAAGTAATAAAAAATAAAATTTATTTAAGGTAATTAATTTACTTAATTGTATATAAATAGCTATAAAATCAACTTTTATTTTATTTAATTATTTTACTATTAAACTTAAAAATACCTTTGGTAAAATTTAACCTTATATTTTAAATTCTATAATGGCAAATATTAAAATAAATATAAATCTTTTTTTATTAAATAATTTTAAATATATAAAGAATTAATTTTCTTTTATTATATATACCTTAAATAAAAATAAAGGTAAAAAGCCTTTAAATAAATTTTAAAAATATATATTTTGTATAATAAAAAATAATATAAAAATAACTTTTGGTAGTTTTGTTATAAAGAAAATGTCTAAATTTAATATATAAATTATAGCTTAAAAATTTAAAAAAAATTCCTTAACCGTATATTTAACACCGTTTATTATTTTTAATCCTTAATAATAATTTTTTGTTAATGTTATAAATATATTTTTTGTTAATAATAAATAAATTAATATTTTAAGATTTAAATTATTTATAATATTAAAAACTTATTATATTATTTCGATTTTATTTTTTCTTAAATATTTAAATATATAATAAAAAAGAAAAATATAAACTTTTTATTTCCATCTTTTAATAAATATAATAATTACTTGCAAATTTATTATATACCTTATTACATTTAATAAAATAATAGTTTTATAATTAATATTTAATTTAATTTTGCTTAACGCTATTATTTTAACGTTTAATATATCGGCATTTTTTTCTATTTAAATTCCATATTTTAATCTTTTAAAAAAACTAATAAATTTACTATTTATTATTTTTATCTATTTATTTAAAATAATAATTATATTAAATTTTTCCTAAAGTTTATAATTTAATAAATGTTTTTTATTTTTAATTTAAAATAGTTTATTTATTTTTTTATATGTTTTCTTATTAATTACTTTTTTTAAATATAACATAAATATTCCTTAAACTAGTTTAAATTAATAGAAATTATTATATAAAATAATAATAAATATATTACCAAAATTTTTTTCAAATATATCTTTTACTTTTTAAAATTATAA